ACTATGTCTGATCAGCTACATCAGATTCTACATTTTGAAATGTTTTGTTCGCTACAAAACACTTATTAAACAATTATTCCAATATAAACAAAGAAATCTTGCTTTCAGGTTAAAGCACTGCATGCAGTGATATGTTTGGGTTAAGTACTTTGAACATTGCACCATTGTTAATATGCATAATTTAACATTGATAAAATATTTTTGGTTGTGATAAATAACTGTCACACCTGTTTATTGGATGATTTCTTGCACTGGATTTGCAAGGGAAGGAAGCAAGGTTAGCCAAGTTTTCAGCTTTTTGCAGAGAAAAGCATGTAATCTAAGTTGCAGGGCGTATCTCTGACAGGTTGAAAATACCAAAAGGGGCTTGCCTGCATCACCCATGCTTTGTAAAACCACAGACACAAAACCAAGATACCTGCTAGCTTCTTGAAAATCATCAGTTGCAGTTGGTAGCAGGAATTACGGTTAACCTCTGAGATCTCAATAAAATCACGTGAATGCTGGTCTTAAGTTAGAGAAAGTAGAAGAAACAACAGATGCTGCCTAGAAAAAATAGAGAGCTGCTTAAAAAATTGCAATAATGTGTGTACGTTTCAATAAAACAACAAGGAATATTGAAATGTGTTTGGTTCTGATTTAATTTTAAAAAATCAACATTATTTTTCAGACTAGTTTGATAACAATGGCTAATGATTTAAAAGGCATAATTGATCACATTGAGAAGAAATAGAAACGCCAAATCAAATTCAAGATTCACGTGCCGATAGAATCACTGGCCAGAAGAATTTACATATTTAGGCCCTAAATAACGCATTATTGGATCTAAAAGGTAATCCAAAACAAAGGAAAAAAAAGACAGAATAAAAGCAAAAAAATACCAGTGTTGAAGTTACTGAAAATTTATTAGACTTCTCTGAAAAAATATAAACATTTTTTAAAAGTATAAAAAATAAAAATCATAAAAATGTAATATTAATCAAAAATATATTTATGAGTTTCCTGAGATTTTTTTATAAAGTAGATTATTTTTATTTTCAACTGAAGTGGAAAAAAAATGTAAAAAAATTGTGCAACAAAAAATGAACTTGTTTCCAAACAACTCCATCACATATTTATGAAAAACCCTTCTAACTCCGTCTCCCAACATTTCCATTTTGAATAAAATTATAGAATCGTATGCAAAAATCACACAAAGTATTGATTTCTATTAAAATTTTATTTTTGCTCTGCAAAGACTTGCACACATATAGTAAATACTAAGGACCAGGATCTAAAAATGCAAAACTTCGTAGTCCTGTTGGCAAGCAGTCAAGAAGCTGGAATGACGACCTAACGTCCGGATTGATCATTCAGAATTGGTCCATGTGTTTATGAAGAATGAGTACACTTGTGAACCTGAGTACGTTTATTTGCTGCAAGTTGAGTACAGACTGACACTCTCCATTTTGGATGCAGGAAAGCAGGTGCTGTGAGAATCTCCTCTTCCAGTGAAAATGGGACCAGCTTTCACACCGTATTTTTTTTCCTTGAAAAGGTTGTGGTGGCTGAGACAGGGTTGGCGGGGGGAACATGCAATTGAATACCAAACTGAATTGTCAAATCCCTACTGTTAATCTTCAGCACCTAAAACAGCAGTTATAAAAATAGGATGTGCCCAAGAGTAGCTGGCACTGAGGCCAGAGGCCACACAGGATTGCTGAATAAGGTCAGGTAATCACCAAAAAATGAGGAGGAGGTGATGAAGAACGCACATCTTCTACAGTGTGGCCCAGGAGCCAAAAGATGAGCTAAAGAGGATTGAGGTGTCGTGAAATTAGTTACCACAAATCTCTCTCTTTCTTCTAAAGTAATGGTAGTATGACTGCTATCGGTAGTATGACAGTGGTGTAGCTGTAAGTGATTACTCTAGGGAGGCCATCAGGGAAAGATTTGAAGGGATCACTTTTTTTTTTTTTTTTTTTAAATGACCATAAGAAACCTCAAGTGAACAGTAGAGTGTCCCTAGACTCCCTAGAGGACAGCAATCTTCAGGTGTCTGCTAACCAATTTTTTTTTTTTTTTCCACTAGAAGACAGTAAAACACTTCTCTGAAGGACAATCAGATTTGAGAAGCTGTCACAGTAGCTTCTACTTTACTGTGAAGGGAAATCCTTATATAAAGCTGGGCCAAAGTCTCAGTACAGAAGATTCCCCTCCCCAGTCTGGCCAGTACTGCTCCATCATTCCACTGAAGCCAGAAGCCTGTAATTGCTGTAATTTGCAAGTTTGGTATGGAGAGGAACCAATGAAAAACTCCACCAGGGGATGCGTAGTTGCTATGACTGAGTGAGGAGAATCCACAGTTCCAAACTGCTGGAAAAACAAAAAATAGTGCCGTTCTCATCAATGAAATCTTTTTCTGAGGATTTTCAAGTAGGCTTGAAAATCTATTACTCAAAGGTTTGAAAACTTCATCAGCAAGTCATGACTTAATGTCTCTATTTGCATGAACACATACACAATCAAAACTAAATAATTTAAGTTTAATCCACAATTTTTTACCACTCAAGCAAAAATTATTTCTTTGAAAGTTCTGAACATGCACTAGATGATACATCAGTCTTGAAAAATCTGAAAGCCTCATTTGTAGTGGATTTTATGTACATACCTCTTTTGAGTTTAAAATAACTTCTTTCTTGATTACAAACTTGTCATAAAAGATAAAGCAATCAAGTAAGAATATAATACATCTGCAGTTAGTGCAAATGGTAATTGTGTTCTCCTGGATAAGGATTTTCAAGAGACTCCTAGCTTGCATGGTCATGCCTTTTATTAGAGAATCTAGATGCATGCTCAATATTACCTTTTAAATCCTGTAGTCTATTCAGGGAATCCATCTCCACTTTAATTGCACTTTCCTCTGTAGGGTAAGAAATTATTTTACAGCTCTTAAAATTTGAAGGTATTTTAGAATTTAATTTTCTTTGAAAACCCAAACCACATGCTTGAAAATAGATGCATCTCCAAAATTCTGAAATTTAGTTTAACTGTGAATGGGGTGTCAATATTTTAATTTTCTTTCATGAAAACTAAAGATAATTGACTAAAGATAATTGTGAGGCTAACTGTGCTAGTCTAAGTGCCAGTGAACAGAAGTTATAGGGTCATTTATGTTTTATAATCCACCTCTTTTTAACATGCGGGTAGACAGGATGCAGCCGCTGTATGTCCCCGATTTTTGAGGGAAAAGGTGATGAAGAGAGTGCTGTCCTTTAAATAAATAAATAAATAAATTCCTCTTTCCTTAATCTTGAAAAAGAAAATTTTAAGTATTCTGTGAAGACTTTGTACACAAAGTGAATATACAGATTTGATGTACATGCCTTTGAAGGCTAAGACTTGTTTTGATTTTCCCGAGAAGCAACACCAAACAGAAGTATTTACTTATGCCATCGCTACAGTTGCTTCCCACAATTGTAAAATGTTGCAAAATACTGAGACAATAGCCGTTAGATCTACGCCCATTTTGGGATAAACACAGCACTTGCACTAAGGCTTACTGTAACAACAAATGTATTAGCAATTTATCCGGATTTTTCAATATGAATAATTTCTTCAAGAATTTGTACAGCTCAGTAAAATAGAAAACAAGCGTCCAGTTCTTCTATGTTCTTATTTTATTGTACTTGCATTCAACTATGCAGCCCTATTTTACCTCACTAGATCCACGTGTATTTCCACACTTTGAAAGAGCTCTCGCCATCCTTGCTGAGTGGTTACTTCCATTGGGATTAATTTGGCATTGAGTGCTCTCATTTTTTGTCCCTCTGGAAAAGAAAGCAAATTGGCAAACAATCTGCATTTTGACTTACAACCTGATTTATGAGAGAAATCATCGGGGTCAAGTATGCTGCAACGTAAGTCTCTGAAGAGAATTGACACTCGCTAGTCTGAGGGGAAGAGACCCGCCACCAAGCCCAGACAGTGAACGCTGACTTGCAGAGCTGTCTGCTGTTGAGTGTTCTCCTGCCCTGCAGCTTACTCTTCTGCAACACTATGGGATGAGCATGACAGCATCTAACAACCACTTTGGAAGTTACAATAATTATGCAATGTATCAAGTGGAAAAGAATGAAGCTCTGGTGGTCTATCCTTGCTTTTTGTTTGGTGAAGGAGTGGGAGGTTAGCCAACAATTACATTTCTAGAAATTATTTAATCCAGCCACTACAAGCATCATGCTTAAGTCAGCTGAATAATATCAAGTTACACATGATTTGTAAGCGTCGCAAAACAAACAAAAAAAATCCCCTCTGTCAGTGGAAAATACGTTCATCACCTGGTTAGGAAGAAAAGACTAATAGTAGGTAGACATGGCCTTGCTACAACTCTTTTAGAGATGCTACCCAGGTTTTGCTTTCTATTTGCTCACTTTTATCTGTCCCTGACATAAAACAAAAACTTCATGTGTTGAGGGAAATCTAAACACCCTGCTAGATATTTCAGAAGCATGTTCAGCAAAACTGTCATGTGCTCAGGCATCCATGTATTTTTCTCTCACCCAGAATACTGAAAAACTTGTGACAATAGTTACATAGCAGCAGTTCAAAGAAAACACAGGCTTGGATAACAGACTGTTGTTTTCCTCAAGGAAAAGATTTGAAGTGTTTATAAATTGGAAGCCAATGGATTGTGACTCAAATATTTCCTACGATGTTGTAATGTAACTAAAACTGATGCACATACCACGTATCCTGAATAAGCTGCTGTGTTAACATAACTGCCACCTGTAATATCAGCAACTGAGAGGTCTTTTTCAATTGTTAGCATCTTAAAAAAATGCAGCAGTTGAACTGAAAGCTCCTTCAAAACTAAACCATACACCTTGCTGTTCTATACCTGATAGGTATAACATGCCATGACTGCCAACATTTTCGGTTCTTGAATCTAAGTATACACTGCGCACATCTGCAACATTACAAATTACAATCCACTGACAGCAAATGCTCATCTCAATTAAAAGACCCTTTATTAAGAGAAACTCCAAAACAGCAATTCTAATACTTTACAGTAACAATTTCAATGCATAATTTAAGAAAATTACTGATTTTTCACATCCTTTTCCTCTGTAGATTCCTTCTTCTGTGTACATACTTTACACAGTAGCATCATTACAATTTCCCATTGGGATTACGGTACAAATAGTTTGAACCCCACTTAGTGCAATTTCTTTGGTTCAAAGTGATGAACTCCTTCCTCAAAGGCTTCATAAATTTCTTCCACAGCATGTATGCTGCTGCCACAAATCCATGAATTAGAAGTGTTTTCTTTAAATTTCAGGCTCCCATTGAATAAGCTGTCCAATTTCAACATGAGAAGTCACCTGACGATCATTAACAATCAAGAAGCTGCACTATATTCTCTAAACATTTTAAATAGTAGGCATGTAGCTCATTTTCTTCTGGCTGTGGAGTAGCTAAAAGGAAGAAGAAAAACAAGAATTGAACTTCTAGTTGATTCTTAATACAAAATGATTTTTTCAAAGATCGCATCAAATGCCTTGCTAGAATTCATGCTATTTTATGATTTTAACATCTATATTACAAGTAGCAAATCAAGTACTAATACCTTACGTGGCAAAGTCTGGGGTTTTTGTTTTGGGTTTTTTTTTTCCTTTTTTTTTTTCGTTTGGTTTGATTTTGGGTTTTTTTTTTTGGGGGGGGGGGGGGTGTTGTTTTTTTTTTAAAAGGCTAGGGTTTTTAGCGGCTTTCCAAGCCCTCACTTAGTTGTAACAAATAAAGTGAAAACTGCCTTTTGATTATGTTATGTTACAATGAGGTCATGCCTTGTTCTTGCCAAAACTTCTCCTTGGGTAGGACAAAGTGGGAAATGAAAAATAACAGTAGACATGTTGAAAAATTCCCACACTTGTACTCAGAAGAACAATCTACAATTTTAGCCCAATTATCACTGTAAAGTGATCAAAGCTTTAATAGGGTAGGCTACTTGAGAACCCTTATGCAGGAAAATATAGATGACAACTTCACATGACTCTAAACTGTAACAATTACAGTGGCATAAAGTCTTCTGTACTCAATATTGATATTTAAATGTTTATTGAATTAAAAAATGAATCTTACAGACTAGGACTTTATGTTATAAAGCAGTACATAAATAAACAGGGATCAGAGCTACAAGGTGCTTGTCTTGTTGAAAGCTTTATGAAATGTTGCATTATGTTATGTTTAATGGTTGACATAGTAAAGGATGAGTTTGAAACAACAGTACACTGACAAAATCAATGGATTTGGGTGACAGTACAGGAAGAATTATCATGAGATGTTCTAGCAAAAATACATCTCCTCCTTATTACGACACTGACAAACAGTGTTCAGTGTAGGCAGAATTTTTGTGGCAATTCTGTTGTGCAAAATATTATTGGAACTTGGTACTATAAAGCCCCCAATTAATTAACCTATTTGAGTACATCTGTAGAGCAATTAAAATCAATAGGAAAACTCATTGGCTTAAAATGAAACATTTGCATGTTTTTGCAATATGAGAGTCTTGATGTGACTAACCAATAAACTCATTATTAGCTACTGAAGCTCCAGCTACAGACCAGTGTTTGAACATCTTTCAAAATCAATGCTCTTGAGCTGAAGGTAGCAACTTATCGTATAAAAGCTATTCAAACAATAGTTAGGTTCAGTTACTTGAGCAAAAACCTCAAGCTTTCAGAAAGTCAGCTGACTCCTGGTACAGTATTTTAAGACTGGCACAATCATCTGTTCTGACCCCTTCTCTGTGTGGCTGAACTCAGTGAGGTTCAGCACTGCTAAGCAAAGTCAGTGCTAAATGAACAATTTTTATCACTATTAACACAGAAGTGTACTGTGCAAAGAAAGCATTTTGCTGCAAGCACCATCAGACCTATTCTTACAAACTAACCTTAGCAATTACCCAAGGTCTTATTTACAATTTGTTAACCAAATTGTATCTGTATTTATAAGATGCCTAACCATAAAGTGACGATATAAATTGAAATGTATTAATGATCTACCTGATGGAAAAATACAGAATTGGCACTAGTTGGAACTAAGACTTACTTTTCTTCACTAAAGAATAAGCCTCATCTATCTTTCTCCTTATTGATGGATTCTTCAAAGTCACTTTTGCCTGTAGCACACAAACACACAAAATACAATGACTTGACTTTCTTCCCCACTTGTTCACACTTTAACAGCAAAGTTTAGAAAATGACAATAATTCAGCAGAACACGAAATGCAGGAATTTTCGAGTTAGCATATAACTGTATCATCATACAGATTGCATTTATGTAAGCAGTCACAAATCACAGAGGACAAGCTGCTTCCTTACCGTGTTGTTTAACCTCCTAGCCTGAGCAGCTATATGATTAAAATAATAAAATGGAACTGCTGCTGTAAACTTTATTTTTATTCACTTAAAGGTTACTGTATTGTTTACAGCATAATAAAATTAACATTGCAATTTTTTCAAGTATTTCCCAAATACTAACCTTCTGATAGTTGTGAAGCAAAGCCCAAAGTGAAGCTGCTCCTATTCTCTGAACAGCACAACTATCACTTTGCAAACAGGCAGACAGTACTGCAATCGCTTTATCTAATGAGAAAAATAAAAAAAAAAAAATCACCTAGAAAATATCATCAAAAGCACACAAATATATTTACATGTCTCAGTATTTTGATGCTTGGACTACACTTATTTCTATAACAAGTACTAGTATGGCAGAGGAATTACAGAAACTTTATTATCAGATTAATTAAATTTAAATATGCTCACAAAATTGGCAGACTACTTTGAAAGAAGTGTTAAAAAGAATATAGCAAAACAAAAACAAGTGATGCTAAAAAATTAAGCCATCAGTAATAAAACATGCATGTTATGTACAGCCATCAGCTATGCATAGGAACTGAGTAAGCCGTGAAACTGTTTTATAACTCCCAGTAGCCACAATTAGAGCCACACCAGAAGAGAAATTAAGATGTACTATTTTCCATAGTACTTATTATGTAGATGATTTATCATCAATGAGAAATATTTGCCATCCCACTGTAGGTGCCTTAATTTCCTAGCCTTGCTCTGAAGACAAACTCTTCAAGTTTGCTTGTTCACTTCATAATAAAAATTGACAGATTATGTAACTGAATAAGGTATGCTTAATTAACGCAGCAAATCAGCATCTTAGGAAAAATGAAAAGCTTGGACACTATGGAAAACCTGCTGAGAACTTATAACAAAGACAGGAGCATTCTCTTTGCAATTAAATGGGGGAATGAAACATGCCTTTTACAAACAACTGAGAAAAAGTTCTGTGCATGTTGTTAAGTTAAATATATATGCCATGATCATAACTTTATCATTATCATAAATGTTTTCTGCACATGACAGAACACAAAATCGTTTGTCTCAACATCCATGACTTGCAGGAGCTAATAAGGTCCAACTGAAAGATAGGAATTTCCATGGTAGAAATATTTTAAAAAAAAATTTCTCAAGTGAGTTATTTCAAACTGACTGACACAAGGAATCCTTCAACCCCCCCCATCCCTCTGCAAAAAAACCTAGCTGTTTGAGAAAACTGCAAAAATCCTTTCATTCATAATGTGTTACTACATTGAAATGATCAGTCTCACAAGAAATCTTGAGGTTTTTTTTAAACTACTTATTTACTTTTCCTTTTGCTATATATTCTTATTTTAATTGCTTTTCTGCCAAAATACATGTTCTACAATTACTTCTATGAAAATAATTTTTACAAAAATGCTTTTCTAAATAACAATATTGAGTTCTTGGTCAGTAACCCAAACTGCAATGAAAATACGGTATTCTGGAAGACACAATATTCTCAGAGTAAAATAGCTTGTATACCCTTTAGACACTTACCATTAGCTAATATCTTTGGTTTATTAGTTGGACTAAAACATATGTTATGTAGAATGAGAAGTGCCAGATGCTGGCTGCTCTTGTGTTTGTATTTACACATTTCCACGATCTGGTCTAAAAAACCATTTATCTTCATGATCATCTGCTGTCCATCTTCTCCAAAAGATATGTTCAGTAGCAGCTTTAGCCAAAGAGTAGACACATTACCAGGATTTTTATGACTTCCTTTTGGTAATGGAAGAGACAAAAAATTCTGCAGGAACTTACTCTGTCAGAAGGAAGAAAAAGGATGTTAGAATTTATAGTATTCCATCGTTTGTTCACTGCTGTTTGACCTTCCAATCTGCATACTTTAGCAAAAACTAGTACTAATGTTTCGTTTACATATTTCAGGGAACCCATTATTAATCAAGGATTTTTGAAAGAATTACATACAAAAAAGAATCCACACCTTGATTAAAAAGTTAATATGGTAAAATACATTTTCTTGTGTAATAATTTATGCAGTGTAGATACATAAAAGTTGACCCAACACAATATCTTTCTTGAAAGGATAATTCCCACCACTACATAAGCTTTTTGCTTTGCACTTAGCGTTTCTGCCAAAAAATAAGCTAGAAGCAATTTAACTGAAACAATGCACTACTTACATAATATATTCTTGATTCCTTATTTATTACTGCTTGCGTTATTAGCAAATGTTAAAGGTATCATAGAATCATAGAATATCTCGAGTTCAAAGGGACCCATAGGGATCTATCGTACCGCCGCCTTCACTGACAGCCATAGTAATGTCCTTTATTTTTGTAAGCTTTGAAGAAAAAGATCAGTTTGTTGATACGACATACACTACCGCTTCCCAATCGCAGGGCTTGCCTCCACTTTAAGGAGATTCTGAGCATGTGAAAATCTATTCCCCTGTTGCAAGAGAGAGATGTTCTAACATAACATTCCTATGATGGAAAAAGTCCTTGACTAAATATTCCCAACCTCACTGACCCTTGACAACACATACAGGCACCTGGTTGAAAGCAAACAATCCAGCATACAAACTCATTGTGGTTTTCTTCACATGAATATAATATTGGTAATTTAATTTTCACAGATGGAATTAGTAATTCAGCATTGCTTACACTTATGAAAGCAGAGCTCAGGATAGAGAATGAAGACTAAGTACTATCACACTAGAGTGAAAATCAATTCACAGAACAGAACAGCTACCATAGAAAAGATCTCAAACTCTTCGTTTCTACCAAAAAGTTTGAGTATCAGCAATTTTGTAACTGTATGACCAGATTTTATATAATTAGCACTACAAAAAGATCATATTTCCCCCTGCCTTTTATAACAGGAAATTAGGTCCAGAAGCACAGAACATTGTTAATGTAAAATGAAATAAATTGTTGTCATTATTAAACTACTGTAAAAGATGCTAAAAACAAACACACTTTTTAAAATTTCTGTTGTGTTAGCTAGTTTTATCACGTCACCGCTATAGTTGATTTTCTACATGGTTTGACTTCTTGTCTCAAGGTGTTGAATTTATTTAAATGATCAAAGTTAAATTTAAAAGAAACGGATTTTTCAAAGAACATTTGATAAAATAGAGTAAGGATCATTCAACATACAAATTAAAAAGGGAAAAGTACTTACATTTATATAATAAGAATAGATTTTTATCTAACACCCAATTACTGACATGTAGATCATCTTCTCTAAAAATATAATTTTTATAAAGATTATGTTTCACACAGTATACCTAATGATTTATACAATATTTAATTTCTTGTTTACTCACATGCAGTTTGTTCTACTGTATGCTCACTTTCATGATCCACTGGTGATTGCTATCAATATATACGGGTATTAAAAATTTTACACCCCACTGAAACTGAAAGGTTATAAAAAGCGCTAGTAAAAATTGTGTAGTTCCATATGCTGTTTCTGTCCAGACTATGAATATGACCAAATTACACACTGCACTTAGGGAACCAGTAACACAACTAACTGAGAAGATACAATGGTTTTGATTCTCGCAGAAGCATCTCTAAATGATCACACTCTATATTGAAATACGAGGGCTTATTAAAAAGGAAAAGGTTTATTAAAAAGGAAAATGCACCCATCACGTTGCTAAAATCAAGAATATTATTTACTTACCTTCTGAATAATGCCTTTACAGTCATGAGACAGAGCAAGGTTAGAAAGAAGACAAAAGACCACCTGCTGAATTGGGCTGTTATCATTTGACACTTGGGAAGCCAGTTTCAAGATGTTATGCATTAATGAATTGCCAGCTGCACTTCGTGCAGACGGAAGTGACGATTGTCCACCACTGGTCCAACAAAGTGAAGCACAACCTTAAAGAAATTAAACGTTTATCATATTAGAAATGCACATATACATTAAAAAAAAAAAAAAAAATCTGTACAAAGAGCAGTCTAACAGCTCAAAGATTGAGATGGGACTTTTGAAAGGATTGTTTTTTTCTTTTTTTTTTTTTTTTCCCCTCTCTCTTCGAACCACAGTGAAGTCAATGGGACATGCTTTGAATAGAAATGTGCCTGAATGTGGCAGTTTACTGGAATAAGCGCCTACTGTCCTATTGTTCTAGAATCTAAGATGCAATTCTGCTGTTAAAGAGAAGCTATTGCTCCATCTCAGAAAGTCTCCTTAAAAACCAGAACATTGTATCTAAGTCATTATACAATTATTTAGCATCAGAATGTGAAGGGACCTTCTGAAACTGGTTCACAAAAAGAGGTCTCTATACATCTCAAAGGTTTAGTAAGTTTTTTAAAATATTTTTCTGAGAAATAAAAGTGCTATCTGCATCTGTCATTACCTTGTACCACAGTAGCATGCAAAATCCTATGATACAGACCTACAAGCTCAAATTAATACAGCGGCCGAGAACAACTAAATTCTCAACATGATGTTTGTGCACACATATGCATATATACCTTTTTATTTAGTGGCATTTGCCATCTGCAACAACAGTTGACTTCTTACATGGCAAAAGTAAATAAAAATGAGACAGTTTTTAACTGTTACAAACATTTACATGCACTTCTTTGTCTGACTACACTAAGGGGAAGTGGTTAACCAGTTCAGAGTAGGTAAGTTTGGGTCACCTCATAAGCCAACTATTCTGAACAGAAAGAAAAAACATAATTAATCTAAAACCACTTGCCCTTATTAGCAAGGAAAATAAAAATGCAGCCTAGAGTCACTCAGAGTTAAGGAACAAGAAAGACCACCAGAACTTCAGCTTGATTTCCAGTATATTGCAGGACATTACATTTTGATTTTATATCCTGTGGTTGACTAACACATATTTGACCTTTCTTCAGTCCATATTAATAAAAAGTCTTTATGAAAAAAAGCACTGCAAGCTCATTTAAGGTCTGGAGACATTAACTTAAAAAGAGGGTAAAAAAGCTCAGAGACTGTTCAGTTAATATATTTTAACCATGATAACTCTTTTATGGTATCTTGACAGGGAGAAATCAACAGATACTTATGTGTCTCCTCAAGCCAGTAGCAAATCATTATCTGAGTCAATAACCAGGATATGGAATGAGACAAATTCATACTGGAAAAAAGAACAGGCTTCTAGTGGTAGGGATAATTACTCATCAATGGAAATAAAGTTTCCTCAAATGAAGAAGAGAATCCTTATGAAAAATACACAAATACAAGCTACTGAGCCCAATGCATAAAATAAATGGAAGATGTTTAATACAGAATTAAATTAGATTATTGAGTATTTCAAAACCAGAATGTTCTCAATAAGGGCTGAAGTACAAACTGTATAAAGTACTGATGTACTGATATACTCTTCTCTAAGAGAGAATTCCTAGAGTAGTATTTCTACAGTATACTATTCAGTTTGGCACGACTTTCAATGTAACCTTCAAACACAATGGTTTGAATTAAATGCTATTTAGTCCTTTAATACAATTGTACTCTTGCTAAATCCAACAGACTGAAACAGGATCTGAACAAAATCAAAACTCTTGATAGAATTTGATGGACCAGTGCTTTTATACTTTCCTCTTATGATAGTAATAAACATTCTTTTCCCTTTATTATGCTTTTCTGTCTTAATTATTCTGGTTAAATATTTTGATGTATTACATCATAGTGTGACTCTCATACCTGCAGGACAGTTTGCAGTGTAGACACAAAGCAAATGCAAAACTATTTGCATTGTGGAGTCATCCATTAAAAACCACGGCCATAGCGAATGCAGAGCAGGAACAAGATAAGCTTTGAGTGCTGCCATCTACAAAAACATGAAGAAGAATTTAAACTACTATACTATTAAATACTTTGAAAATGAAGTATAAATACAGTTAGAAAAGCATGTTTTTATCTTATTGTGTCCCACTAGTTTGCTTTAAAAGATAGTACGGAGAGAACTGACACCCTTACTTCAACACAGATGAAATTAACTCTATCCCAGTCAAAACCAGCACACATGTTTTAATTACTGAGATACATGCAAACAGAAGTAAAGATTTATTCATTCCAACTGTGATTGTTCAAGAGCTCCCTATTCTAAAGTTTTATTCTACTCCAACCAAACTAATTATTGGAACTCAAAAAGCATGGAAATAGAAGAGTGCAGTTCTACAGAACAAATGATAGAAAACTTCAGTTATCAACAGCAACCTCCTTCTTTCCTCCAAGCAATTGTCTCTGCAGATGCCTGATCAAAACAAGAAAAATATTCCACAATAATCTTATCTGAGATTATGGCACAACCAAGTTATGGGGACCTTAGGGATAACCAGATGGCTTATTCAGGCCCATAATATACATGGTGTTCTGTATACAAAAAGGATGCTAACACATGCCCTCAATAGGGGTACTTCTGGAAGGTCTGGAAATCTTGTGTTCCACCAATGCATTTGCTAAAAGTAGCACAAGTTGTATCACAACACCAAGACAAATTAAACTGTGAAAGAGAAAAGGGAAATAAATGTGTGAAAGGTATCAGCAATAAGAAAGAGAAAGAGTAGTGATCAGAAAGAAAGAATACAGAAAGAATGAAAAAAAAGCAATGTAGTATTTTCCCCATGGAAAAAAAACAGGTAGGCAGAAGAACTGAAGTAGAAAAGAAATTGAAAAGCACTGAGAAAAAAACAAAGAATGTGAAATGAAAAGAAGAAATTCAAAACAAGATTCTGAGCCAGAAAAATGATGGAAAAAAAACCCCGATCAAGATGAAACTAAAGTCGTGCTTTGCAGGATTAGCGTAATTTAACTCAGACCAAGAAAAGTAAATGGAAAATTATTATTTAGGGTTTGTTTTTTGTTTATTTATTTTGTCTTTCAGAAAGGAAAAGGAAAAAAGGAGAAAGGAATAAGGAGAGGAAACTACTTTCCAAGATGTGAAGTGTGTCTCTTATGCACCTTTCTTGTGGCCCCACACTTTTCTCCACATCCATTTTTCATATTATATGCTTTGAAAATTGGAATTATTGACTTAAGCAAAACAGAAGTGGGTATAAAGGATGATAGCCATTTGAAACCTTTGGGAGATGATGTTTCAATAGGAACACTGAGTTCCTAATTCACGTATGAAATATTCTTAGAAGGTGGGAATAATAATGAAATTTGAAGTATTTCTTGCCATTAATATCAAGCTTAAATTTAGCCAGCTTGAAAACAATTTCAAAGTAGAAAAAAAAAAAATTATCTTCATTCACTAACTGAATGCACTCACATTATTTCAGAATAAGAATACTTACTTTGCATTCTTCATTTTGAAAGAGGCAGTTTCTGAGGAGCTGCATAGAACACCTTAACTGCTTGATAAGGTTATCCTCCTATCCAGAGAAAAATATTTGAAGATCATCAACATAAAACCAGAATGAATTTCGTACAAGGAGGAAAGAGATCTCAAAGGAGAGGTGCAAATCTAAGGCAACACAACATTTGGGTCACATCTCTTCAGCAGAGTTTCCGTTTGACCTCAGGTAGGATTCATCTCAGCTAGCTTTAAACACATATACTAAAGACATTTATAACAAGTTACTTGGAGTCATCCTCATCTCTCTTTATAACCCACAGACACTATTTCTAGGGGTACTGATCTGGCCAAATGCAGAGATCTGTAATGTAGAGCTCCATTTCTCTTACAGCTAATGAAGAATGGGTGGGAACACTTTCTGGGTATTTGTTCCATCCTAAAGCAGACATCTAAAACAAGTCAAATGAATCACTCCCTAGAAGCACCTATTTTTCTTCCCTGGATAAAAACAAGGATAAACTAGCTCTGTCTTGCAGATCTCTATATTCGGTCAGACCAATCCATCCTTACATTCCCAGTGTCTCAGTTCCCTATCCTTAATAACGGAAATAGTTTCCAACCTGGTAAGAATATTACAAAGATAAATACAGACCTTTGGACAATGAGGTACTATACTGAGATTCAAGTATACAAGTAAATAAAAAAAAAATCTATCTTCATAATAGTGCTGTGACACTAAAAGGCTAATAATGGCTGACCTAACTTCTATAAGGTTGACATACTAAACCACTTCTGAAAGATGATCAAATTCCAATAAGCTTGCTCACCACAGGAGACTATTTCTGTTTTATCAAGCATAAAGGAACAAAATTGTAAATAGGATTCATGCTTAATCTAAGACAAGGTGAAACAACAATGCTTGCTTATAAATCATATCATGTACAGTTGATGACATTTAGAAATGAAGTAAAAGTCTATCTCAAAAAAGTTAATGAAAGTCAGGTGTAGTAGATGAAAAAGAAACATACAAGTCTCATCATTACAAATGCATTTTATGACTGGTTTGTCTCATTTTTAACCAAATAAAATGCTAACTCTAAGACTTGCCTTCAAGAACTTCCATACATATTAATTTATTTAATAAATACAAATAGCACTAAAACCTATAAAATGCCACAAGCTACAACTTATACTTAATGTGTAAACTTCTATAAGTTTGAAAAAGTTATAGATTGTGTTGATAGCACTGTTCGTATTTATTTGTTTATTTTAGGATTTTTCCTAATATCTTATTTTGAGGTGATTTTTTTGAAAACTTGGCTATTTGTAAATACTTTTCATGCCCTTGGTTAGCATCACAGTAATTATTGTGAAAGAAATGAATATCAGGTAAAATACTTCAGTTGCCCTGAGAATCAAGCTAGGTCAAACACATTTTTCCCAACAGTTAAAAGAAAAGAAAGAGAAAAAGAAAAGAAGCTCTCATAACTTCACTTTGGGAGCTGTGCCTTGAAGTGGGCTGAAGGGCAGTTTTATGAATGACCAGCTAAATCTGACTATGAAAGCAATGTCTCAGCTTCCCTCACATGAAACCAGATTGCTTGTCGTTATGCACCACATGCGATGAACAGCATGCTTACATATGATGTAGCAATCTACAGTCCCAGTTTAGCAGAGAAATCTGCCACAAAGTCTTTTGCAAATCTCTTTCAAAGAATTCTTAATTAATCTTAATTAATCTTAATTCTTAATTAATCTTTATTTCTGACCTTTCTCAGAAAGTCCTTTCCTTCAATTTCTTTCAAGTTTTGAATTCCTTCTACATTTAGCAGAGGAGCAAATGTCCCCAGCTTCTCCCTTCTCAACCCAAGAAATATAAAGACCCAGCTGACTTCTACCTTACTGGACATAACCAGGGCAGGACACCTTTCAGCCTCCACCCCTTGTAGAAGGGATAATAAATGTGTTTAGGAGATCTCAAGAAAAAATACTGTAATCTTCAAATGTCAGGGTCAACCTCAAATTCTTTTAAGAGCTCATTGTTATAAAACACAGTTCCACATTCTCACAAATCAAGGCTAATGTCTGTTTGTGCCAACACCTCAGACAAAAATACTATCGAGCTCAAACAATGCAGAAATATCCCACAGGAAGATGTTTTCTGCAATTTCTGCTTTATGTGGGAGTGGACAAGATACCAAACTTGACAGCAGAGGTTATTGTCTGTATTTAATAATTCTCTTAGATGAAAGTGGTAGAAAACAAGCAGATTGCAACAAAAATCTTATGAAATTGTTGCATGATGGTAAGAAATAATCTATGTCTAGATGTGGTAAGGAAGAGCTGGGTGATGTGAGAGTCTGGAACAACTGGAAGGGAGGTTTAAAAAAAAAAAAGGCTAAACAAAGAAATTGTGAATGGAGAGAAGAAACTGGGAGTACAGGTGGTGGAAGAAGCGCAAGTATGAGGTAAAAAAATAAAACTCTGACAGGAAGTTAAAGCCAGGGACAATTGAGTCTGATGACAAGACAGGGAGACATCCAGACCAAGTATGCAGGAGGATAGAAAAAGAATTAGAATTGGAAACCAGATAATATGAGAAGGTAGAGAATAAAAACCTATGACTTACATGTGCAAGCAGACTGGAACTGGTTTTGGGGTAGGAGGGAGATTGACTGGTACAGGAACAGAAAAAACCAAAATGGCTAGCACTGGTTAAAAGACACTGAGGAAAAGAATTTGAGAAACAGAAAAATTATTATTGTGGAAACAAGATGGGAAAAATCAGCTGGATTGAAGAGGACCATGAAGTCAAGGATGAAACTCCGACTATGTTTGAAAATAATACAGTACTCTTCGATATTGTTGTAGGCTAAATAAATATAATAAATTGCGAGCACTGACAGGTGACAAATGGATGAACGTGTATGTGTGTGAATGTCAGAAACTGAACTTTTGAACTCTCAATCAGAAGCCTGCTAGTTGCCACCTGCAACCAGAATGGGCTAGTCGCTAGTTCTGATAACCTGGACTAAAAGCAGGAGGTCCTGAATCCTCCAATTAACAAAAAGACATGAGACAGAACCACTAATTCAGAGGCTGATCATGTGTTGTACTTCACACATAGATTATTTAGATTAGGTAAACAGGAGCTTAGAGTTCTGGAAGAAAAGCTGGTGGCAAAAAGAAGCATTCCTGAAAAGAAATGGTCTCTGAAAGAAAGTTAGGATCTCGTTAGGTCGTGCAGAGTGGAA